ACACATAGACACACATAGACACACATAGACACACATAGACACACATAGACACACACACTATATTAGTTGGCTTGTATGGTAGAGGCTGTATAGTCCAAAACTGGCTATTTGCAAGCTGAAGATGCAGAAAAACAGGACTTGGTAGGTGCTTAGCTCATGAATCTGGAGGCCTCAGCAGTCATAATGTGAAGCCCTGAAGACCTGGGGTGTTCTGGAGAGTCTCTGATCTCAGTACACACAGGAAGGGCCGAGGAAGCTGGCATCTGATATCAGCAGAAGATGCTGGCAGTGGTAGCAGCGCCAGTCGTGGGGGGCTGGTGGTGATGGATGGACAGACAGTTGCTCAGGAAGAAGTGAAAGCAGGCAGACAATACTGATTTTTCCCTGGGAAGTATTTATACCTAGGCTGCTTTTAGGCTGGAAGGTGTTGCCTACTCTGAGGTCAGGCCTTACCCACTCAGTTAATTCTTTCTGGAAACATCTGTAAAGGCATGCCCAGAGGTCTCTAGCTATTGTTAAGATGACAATGAAAATCAACCATCACAACTTGTATATATAACTTAAAGTGAAAACCAGTGCTTAGAAGGACCACTTGATTTCCCCCGTTAATCTGCTTAGTTTTTGCCGTGACACAAACTAGAGTCACCCAGAAAGAGGAAACCTCAGCTGAAGACGTTCCACCATTAGATTGGCCTAGAGACATTTCTGTGGGGAACTGTCTTGCTAGATGATCTCTCACGGTGGGCAGCACCATGTCTGGGCAGGTGGACATAGGCTGTATAAGAAAGGCATTGGAGAAAACAAGAGAGAGCCAGGCAGCAAGTAGTGCTCCTCCATCTTTCTTTATTTTTTTTTTTTATTCAGGTTTCTGCTTCAAGCTCCTTTCTTAAATTTCTATCCTAAGTTTTTCACAGAGGTTTTGACCTGTAAATGTGAGATGAAATGACCCCTTTCCTTCCCACGTTTCTTTTGGTCATAGTATTTTTTGTCACAGCAAAAGAAAGCAAACTAGAACGCACATCTGTTGGTTTGATGACCCTTTAGTATTCCGTTTTTGGAGTTCTTTATACGTTCTAGATACTAACATCTTGCTGGATGTATAGTTGCCAATATTTTCACTCATGCTGTAAGCATTTCTCTACACCTTGCTGTGTAAAATCTGTTCAACTTATTTGAATCCTATTTGTCAATTCTTGGGATTACATACGTGATAACAAGTGCCCTCTTTATCTCCCATCAGTTAAGACCAGAACAGATAGAACTATTCTATGGAAACATGCCTACCTATAATTTAACAATAGTCAGTGGTTTATGAGATCATCCTTGACATTGTTGATTTACACCATGCAACCAATGGCAGATTAGTGGTGTGGATCTTGGAGATGTTGGAAAAAAAAAACCAAAAACACTCTTGTGGCCTTGGAGTTTCCTTTTCAGGAATGTATCCAGGGAGTGAGGAATGATCGTCCTGTACTATAGACCATTTCCAATGAATAAAATATTTATATTTTATGTGCCTTTTCATGTTGATACTCCACCTAATTAACTTGTGGATGTGGTGTGTGTGAGTGTGGGAGTATGGGCATCCAGAGAACGACTTCAGTTATTGGTCATCTCCTTCTACTTTGTTTGAGACAGCATTCCTGTTTTATTTGCCGCTGTGTGTACCAAGCCCACTGGCATGAGTGCTCAAGAAATTCTGCTATCATACCTCATCTCCTCATAGGAATACTGGAGAGAGGCCAAGAGAGTAAAACTCAGATCTTCAACCTTTGCGCAGCAAATGCCTTATCCACTGAGCCAGCTCTCCAGCCCTCCACCTAAAAAGCTTAAAAGCTCATTAACTCCTGAATGATTCCCTTCCCCTAAGTGTGCAAAAGCCAGGAAGGCTTTTCCTCTGTTTCAAGTGTGAATGAAGCTTAATCCCTAGAGGAAAGACCCTTCTGTGCCTTTAATATTGTTGTATTTAATATTGAAGACTTTTGGCAGCTTATTCTTGTTCCCTCATTGCCTATTTCTACTCGGTAGCAGCCAAAATCCTCTTCACCTAAGTTGGTCATTGGGAGATCATTCAGAGAAACGAGTTTATTTTCTGCCCGGCCAGGAGACCATTAGTAAATAAATTATTAAGAATTAAGATGCATCCAGTAATATATCCAGGAATTTGGGGCCTAACCTAACATGCCTTCTTTAGAATCCAGTTCTGGATCTAAAAGTGTTTCAAAACCAAAACTACAAATCTGCATGCTGGTTTCAGCAGATTTATCTCCAGCCGTTGTTTATATAAGAAGCATGTCTCCAACTGAGTTTCACAAATAGATTTGAAGTAATTCAGTTTAGAGCCCAACATTTCATTTACTGGAGAGCTCGGCTGTGAGCGGAAGATGCTGTCTTTTCCAAGGGTTCTCCTGCTGACAGTTATACACTTGTAGATTTTGTCCCAGTAATGCCTTTTGCATCCCAGCTGCAGGCATTAAACCTGACTTTCCAAATGAGCTTGATTGTTCCAAGAAAGTTATTGCTTCAGCTGTTATTCTTGTCATTGTGTGATCTTTGGAACAGATGTGGAACATTAATGAAAGAAACACGTATTAAAACAATCACACCAGCCTGTCACGGTGGCACATGCATATAATTCCAGCTCACAGGAGGATGAGACAAGAGAATTTTGAGTTAGAGGCTAGTCTGGGCTACATTGTAAAATCCTGTTCCCACATGAGATTCTTATGAAATGACTGAAACTGTTCTGCATGACTGTTAGGATGAAGTAGAGCTTTATTTTGATGTTTCCTTATCAATAACACATGTGTTTTCATGTAACTGAAATGATCGTCTCGGTTGATTTTCTATTGTGAAGAAACACCATGCCTAGGGCAACTTATAGCAGCGTTTATTGAGGGCTTGCTTACAGTTCCACAGGCGAGTCTTTGACCGTTGTGGTGGAGAGCAGGGCAGCAGCCAGGCAGGCATGGCACTGCGGCAGTAGCTGAGAGGTTACATGTTGAGACAACCAGCACAAACCACTAAAAGCCCAGGGCCAGCGACACACATCCTCCAACAAGGCCACACTGCGAATTCATCCCAAGTATT